CATAACAACTTTACAGACTTTTCTTCCAATCTGAAGTCAAAATTTTAAAAAGCTTTCGTTAGAGTAACCTCGAAATAGATTCGATTTCATGACGAATGTTCAGCTTCAGTTGCTGCATGGTTGTTGGATTTTAGAGTATATTTTAACCCCTAAGGTAACCCCACAAAAAGAAGTTAGCTGGAGTGAAATCGGGGCTTCTTGATGGCCAGGAGATGTCACCCCTGCGTGAAACATGTCTCGTACCAGACACTTATTTTTACTATTAATATCATTGATGAACATGTTAAATCATTAATGAATTCTAATATAATACCATTAAAATCTATCCATATTACCTTTGCCCTAAGAAGATGAGATTGTCCAACATTAACACTTACCTGGTGCTAACTACTTACGTGATCACATTAAGAACAAAAGGGAACAAATCAACAGACAATGGGACTTTTCAAGACAAGAGTGTATAGGCACTTTGTACCATCCTAGACTGCATCCTAACTGATTTGTTATGCATAGAAAAAACTTCGTGATATGCAATGGATACTGGGCAGAAGAAGCTTGGAGAACAAACTATATACAAATGCATCCTATATCTATATCTATGGCATCGACTTAGCCTCGCAAATGTAGAAATACTTTAACGTTTTCAAAATAAAGTATTAAAAATCTTGAGCTGTGCACCTTGGTTTACAAAGTTCACTGAAGTGATACCAAACGTCAAAGAGGGTGTAGAAAATTCCTGTAAAGCTTACAAACAAAGACTAGACCGTCATGAAATCTATTTGCTGCATCCCTTCTAAATTCTGAGAATTCTGCATTCAGGCTCAGGAGAAAGCGAATAGCATCAATCTAAAAACTTGTTTTATAAGAATCGAGGTGACCAATCATGGGATATGCAGAGCTGGAACTGTCATTATTACAAATTCAATTTAATCTGATAATGGCTGATGGCTGATCGCAGATAGATTAAAAAGAGGAAAAATCACTTACATCATCACGAATTAGACTTTTCGGATCACTTACATCATCAATGATGTAAGTGATCCGAAAAGTCTAATTCGTGAGACCTCCTGATCCATTAATTATCTGTACGTTAAATCGTTTGTACCACATTTAAATTAAATAAATTATGATTAAGATTCTGATTCTGCTCTCATTTGAAATGTGACACGTAGCCCCTTCTTGCTGAAATTAAGTGTTCCTGTTATAGCCTCGATTCTTGCAGTATACTAAAAATATCTTGATACAATAAATAATAGAAATTAGTGTTTTTCTTTTTGCAAAGGGTTTATTAAGTGTACCTACAGCTTTTTTTATGACGCTATATATTTGTATACAGATTTATCAATGCAAGATGTTGTTTTTTTACTATTTTACATATCTTTTCTAATTACCGTTAGATTAAGTATTAGCCTTATCTAATTACCGTGACCATAAAATTTTTGGATCTCATTTAAGCGAAAACCGCTTTGAATAATTTGACGCCTTTACGATTGTTAAATTCGTACTTTTCATGTGTTTTATATTTAAATGCATTTAAGTCAATTAAGCCAAATTTCAAAAATGATATGGTAATTAGGCTGAGAACGCCTGATCGTGAGAATGACCGTAAAATACTTATTTCCTAACTTAGTAACTAAGTAGGTACACGGGTAAATTATCTTTTTATGTTTTATATAGGAAAATTAAACAAATTAAACTCGTTACAAATCATAAAATAACGCGTTCGATCGTAAAACTACCACGAGATACGAGAATGAATACCACGAACAGCATTGCTGGCTTCTCTCCTTCAAAGATGATGAGACGAGCCGACAAATGATACGGAATTAATGAACAAGGGACTGATAAGCGATAAGAAACGCATTGAGGCGGTGGATCAAGTGCCACCACTGACCCCAGGTCGGCCGCGACCGTTAAGCTATCGCAAACCATATTTATGTACCACTAATTATGGTATTTCCACGACGTGCTATAATGGATTCCAGTAAAATTCGTCTTCCGACATACTTATCGGTAGTAGGATAGTTCATAAATAATCGATATGATCCCGCAATGGTCGCAATGACAATGAAAAAAGGAGGCAATAAGAGATGTTGCCTTTTGACTGAAAAAAGTTGGCAGCAGTTAGGTTGTTTTTTACAAGTTACTCCATTTCTACATTCAAAACTACGTAGAATTATAGTATAACTATTTCATCATTCGTTCGTTTCAGCCGAAAGACGTCCAATGCTGGACAAAGGCCTCCCCCAAGGATTTCCACAAAGACATCATTATTGTAAATAAATTAGTAATTAGTTCCAGTTAGATTTTCTTAAACTTTTTATAATTTAAAATAATTTTCTATCAAAAAGCTATCAGAGTTCATGTAGAGACAAGCTTTTAATTCTACACGCCCTAACTTTATAAGGCGATGGGCCTTATAAAGTTAGGGCGTGTAGAATTAAAAGCTTCACAAACTCTACAATAAATTCTATATCTTAGTCAAAATGTGATTTGGCAGTTTCTTTATTACTAGACCTATTAACAGATAAGTAGGTAAATAACAGCCTAGATATAAATTTTTCAATGTGATGGTACCGAAACGGCCAAGCTAAATACCTAATTTCTTGACTATAATAAGTGTAGAGTTTTTGAATAATAATGTCATGTATCTTAATTATGCACTTTAAAGAAATGGATGAACACAAATTTTAAAGTAGAGTTATTAGATAAGTAAACAAATATTTACATATACATTTTACATATACCTACCTTATTTACATATACCTAGAGGACAGAACTCATTATCTCACTTATAATAATTTATTACCATTTCTCGTAATTAATTTAGCAGATAAAAAGTTCGCATAATTACGAGTGGTGGATATTTTTTCTTATCAACAAATGAGTTCAAGTGAAACATTTATTATTCATAATCATTGTCAGTATTTAGTAGCATTACTTATTTGTCATCATTGCACATTGGCCATTATGAGGCCCCGCCTATTTGTGCATCCATTAATTAACGATAGAAACGGCTGATCATGTTATTTTCTCATTAGTACTCTACTGCGATGTAATTTAAAGATAGATGTAATAGATAACATGTTTTGAACCAATCAATAATAATATGTACTTAGTGAGTATAGGCCCGAGAGTAGAGATGGCGAACCAATGACTCACATTTGAAAAATAAATATTTCCGTCGCAATCACTATGAAACTAATGAAATACCGGAAAATAAATTGTCAAGAGGAAATTGTGACTTACGGAAAACACGTGCGTTTCTGATACATAGCGTAAGTATCAGATGGAAAACAAAAGCTTGCTGTGCCTGAAGAGCATCCTACTATGCTACTAATTTCTACTAAGTAGGATATTATAAATAATGCGAAAGTTTGTATGAATGTTAGGATGTCATGATAAATGTAGTATTCTCTTTCTTTCACGCAAAAACTACTGAACGCATTTTGTTGAAACTTTACAGTATTGTTTTTGTTGTAACCCAGATTTACATATGGCTATAATTTATGACGATTTTTGACACTAAATTTCACGCGGGTGAAGCCGCGGGCAAAGGCTAGTATAAGTTTATAATTCTTGAATTATTGAAAAAAAAATGGCTTTAGTTTTTTGTAATTGTAAAGTAGGAACCTGTTACTCAAATAATGTTGAGCTTGAGTAATTTGGAATCGTAATTTGTATTGGCTGTCCTAGGAAACCGTTGAACCTATTTTGATGATACCTAATTTTTATGTTGACTTTACTATGAGTTAATAGAAACGAGATAGACTTTTTTTGTTATGGCTCGAGCCGTCGCGCGGCTTGTGCATTGTCAATGTCAAGTCCATGTGGCTTACCGAGGGCAACGTCAGGTTTTTAGTGGGTAGGCTCTGCCCTTCTGGCCGGGAGAACCCCACATAACCCACTAGCTGCCCCCGCGACTGGTGGGTATACTCGCACAAGTTTATGTATTTTCCTGACAGTAAAAAGTTTCCATTCAGAGAAGGCAAAAGCAAAGCCGCGGGTAAAGGAATATCTTCAACATCTGTTCTAATCCTACAGTCCACTCGAGATCTGTTTCCGGTATGAAACGAGCATTCGAAATTAAATCTTCATTAAAAATATCGAGTTTCTTTAAAAACGAATAACAACTTAATACTAAGCAGTCTAAATATAACTTTAAAGTAAATTTATTAAATAAGTAGATTAAATCTGATGATTTGGGAAATATTAAAAGCTTTAAGAAGCTAAGAGAAGGTACGATCAATTTTACGTCGAAAAAGTTTTTTCATATTTATCTCTGAACCTAGAGTACTGAGAGACGAACGACGACCATTAAAACTTCATAATACTTAATAATAAAAGTTCCATTAAACATAATAGATTAAAATAATGAATGAGGAAAATGAACAGTTAGGTAAGTACGTCATGGAAACTAAGGTCTAGGTGTGACTTGTATGATGTTTCTGGTTTTATTAAAAATCTATTTAGGCAGGTAGTTGTAAGACATTGATTAAATACTATTAAGTTTCAGTACCCACGTAAAAGTTAGAAAGCCTTTTTTCGTGCAACTCAGATGAAATACAAAAAATATTATCAACTTTACATAATGTATGCGGCGAACTCTACAAAAGCTCGTTTCGTGAAAATTGTATATCTACTTGGGAATAACCGCAACAATGTTTCGATGGATTTCAGTATTGTATCAAATATAACATCGGAATAAATTAATAAAAATAATATTACATAAAAATCCAGAGGAATTGTGAATAAGAGTTAGGTCCTACTTATTGAAAAAATGAACTTTTAGNAAACTTTTAGTTTATGAAAATATTACTCGAAATAAAAGTTTAATTAACTAATTGCAATGGTTAATTTAATATGAGTTAGCTTAGTAGGTACTTATTCTAATTCGAGTCAATATAAAATATTGTAAATAGAAAATGGTCTGAGTAGTTATCTAGTTTTTTTTGTTTAGTTCTACGATTTTACACCCAAGAAAACCCAAAAGAACTTACTTGGAAGGCTGTGGAATGATGTTTTCATAATTGAAATTCCGCAGCAGTTTTCCGACAGCTTCATTAATTTCCAGCTTGTCGCATGGCCGGTCGTGCTCCTGGTCCCAGCTCATTGTGTACGAGGAACGAAAGCTTTCGCGGAGGCGCGTGCGGCCGACTCGCGCGCACTCACTATAAAGAGCCCTCTATGCTCCCGCGCATACTATAAAGTATAAACTCGTACAGAGGGAGCGCGCTGATACCACTCTTGTTTGTTTACCTATCGATTTATCAGATGTTATTTAACCCTTAACCACCTACCACATATTATTGTCACACAACCGCCTATCATACGTCTGTGGGACCCCAGAATAAAAAATAATACGATTACGATAAATATTAAGGGATGGTGTACAAAATGTGCACATTTTAATTAAAATTCTGTTATGAAAATGATTAAACTTTTTATTTTTAAAAAGAGGAATGCGAAAATCATCAATATTTTTACAAAAACTTCGAATAATTAGCATAATCTTTTATTTTTGGCTTGCTTACTATTACTTATAGAAAATTAGATCCTAAAAAATATTGAAGGTGATAGGAACTTATTCTTATATTTTTTATATAATTCAATCAACAAGGAACTTTAATAAAAAAAATAAAACTTATTATTATAATCAATTAATCAAAATTGCAGGCTCTAAACTTAGAGTTTTTCACGGCATTCCAGACTCATATTGTTCGAACATTCGAGGCAAATTGGCGCTTTGCATTCGAAAGACATGTATTGTGTTTGAGTTTTTTTTGTATATTTGCAAGTGGAAGAGTTTTTACGAACCGCCAATCGCTCTTCATCTGTGCTACTGCATGGGACAGCTGCTGGAAGGGTCACGTTGACCTGGAGGATGCGTTGTATACTGATACGTATACCACGTTGCAATTTCACATTGCTTTCACGACGTGCCATATGCAGTGTCGTCAGCTGTTCAGCCAGTTTCTTCATAAACTTGAACCTGCTGTAAATTGTGTGTCCTGTAAAGTCCGCGATCGTCAAGTCGCGGGGGCAGAAGACCAACGAAAACGATTCTTTCCAAAATAATTATTTTTCCTAGGTCTCGATCGAACCTCCGCTAACGGTACATCATCCTCAGATGACAACTCTTGGTCACTTACTGAGGGAATATCACATTGTGATGGAAAGTTAATTTGCATTACTGTTGAGCTTTCGCATTCGGAATCAGACACGTTACTTTCTTCCAGCACATGATAATTTTCAACCAGCTCCACATCGCTGCATTCGTCGTTTTGTATGTTTTCATCGTCTGGCAGATCTTGTTCACCCAACATTCAATTTCAGCTTCACTAAGAGCCATTACAACTAAAACTATTAAAAAAAACACTCATACAAAAAATTACGTAACCTCCTAACAGGGGTCTCTCAGACCCATTCTGGTATTTATTTACTCACCTGAAGCAAACGCGCGCACGTCCAACCTCGACAAGCCGTTGTGCGGTGCTGAGGGGCGCGGGGAAAAGGTACAGAAACGAACGAGTCGATGCAACACTCCGGCGCAAAAATATTCACATTTATTATATCGACAGGGTCTGTGAGACGTATGGTAGGCGGTTAAGGGTTAAATGCACATTACGATATCGAAATGATTTGACAGTGGAAAATATGCACAGCTGAATTTAATTTACTGTGACACCAAATTAAGTTTCTTGTTTTAAGTTTTCATTACTTATTATTTTAATTAATTAACATTAAACTTGGGTAATCCTATAATGGGTACTTTCCTTGATTATTTGCTGAATCATCGATGCCTAACCCGTTCTCAACTCAAATTAAAAGTGCCTAGTAATTCTAAGTACCTAATTAGTAATTACCTACTTATTCAAAATTTCCTTTGTTCAAATTAACAGTGCTAATTAGAAACCATTAAGAATTGTTAATGCTAAGTATTGTAGCTACATATTATAATCGTAGTCTGGATTAAAATATCACATAGTAGAGTAGATAAGCCTTCTATTTTTTTAATGAAGTAAGTAATATGAAATACGTAATATTTCCTCTTTCAGAGAAGCTTACCTAAGTCTACTATTATAGTAAATGATGAAACGTACCTACTTTAAAAGGAAAAATTATACCTACAAAACATGTACATCAGCAATATCCGCTGCAGCTTTGATAGAGTCGCACGACTTTTCCGAGTTTTCCCTCGCGCGGCAGTGGGCGGTGCGCGCGCGCAGGCGGCGCCGCCTCGCCTCGCCATTGGCGCGTGCGCCGGCCGCTGTGACGTCACGACGCCCGCTATCTCGTGCCTACAATCCGGTTCGCGGTAATAATTTAGCCGACGCTAATTTATTGAGATGTAATAAAGTCGGTTTTGGTTGTGTCGGTAGATTTTGACCGATTCAGATCGTATACGTATGCATACTAATAGAAATTGGCAGTAAATTAAAAACAAAAAATCATTTCAATAGAGATTTGGATTATGGTAGTAGTTTGATGATGTTTGCCTACTCAAATCACAGATACCCAGAAAACACCTACCTACTTACTTAAAAGATTGGTGTTAATGTGGTTTTTGTCAGAAAAATTGACAGAGTCTATTGAAGTGAAATAACCGGATTAAGATCCAATGGATTGGAAGGTATTGTAAATGGTAGGTATTTTTAACATGTTACTTTCAACACCTAAATTCATTCAGTTCTGAAAGGTTTAAAAAATATTCCAATATACCTACACCAACTCTACTGCGTAAAAAATGAGTGAACGCTAATTGCATCCTAGTTTCTACTAATAATATTGAAGAAATGTTTTGCCACCACACTTGATCACTTATTTTTAGATTTGAATGCAATTAGCGTGAAATCAAGCGAGCAAGCAATGAGCAAACAAATCTGCATTTTAAAAAACTTTATCAAAGGGTAAAGAAAGACCACGAGAGCGGCCGCGGCTTTGTTCAAACAAAAGAAAGCTCTTACAAAGGAAAACTCCTTGTTGTTAAAATTATCAGCAACTTCTCAAGTTATTTATGGTTTGGTGTTGAAGGATTACAAACAATATTTTATACAATAAACGCTAATTGTCTAACTACTATTGTCAGGTAAAAAGATAAGGCCTGGTAAGAAAGTAAGAGGTAGATAGTCATCCTAATGATTGTTTAATCCTGCCCTAATGACGTTTATGCTAATAATGCATGACTAATGCCTATTTTAAAATGGGTTCATGCTAATTCAAAGAACGCTTACTCAACAGTAACATTTTTTCGAAGTCGTTAAATAGTAAACCACTCAAAAAGTATTTTCGTTTTATTATTTAAGTATTTGTATATAAAATTTTGTTTGTAATTCTCGCAGTTAAGTAGGTAGTTAAGTAGTAAACGTATCTATTTATTGAAACAACCTTTGCGTGTCCTGCCCGAGAATCGACTCTAGGAACTAAGTAAGTAGGTAAATTAGAAGCTTTTTATATTATCTCCATAAAGCATAAAGCCTTGAAATTTAAAGAATGGATGATTTATTTATGATCTACCTAAGTAATTATCAGGTAAATTTAGTTTACTTCATCTTTATTTCAGACGGGTAGAGCCTGGGAATAATACTTAAGTAGTCCTACTCGTATTATCTTTGTCCGAAATCAGATTCATCGACTTTTTAGTAAGATAAATACTTACTCGTAGTTTTAGTAGGATGTAATTTTGTTTGATTATCAAAATTCTATTTTTGAAAAATACAATTTTGTAAAAGTAAACATAATGTAATCTAAGGTGGCTATTTTATTGATTTGAGAAATTTATTATGAGTAGGTACTATCGGCAACAGTGTTAACTGCCCATTGCCAGTCACGTCATCTCGTTCTATCGCCAAGAATCGCCATTTGAATAGAGCGAGAGCAAAAACGGAAATCGATAGTTAACAGTGTGGCCGCTATGCCTTTATTATCAGATTCTCTTTTGTCATTATTTACTACTGCTAAAATCATTATTGACTATAAGAAAAAATGCTGTAAACAAGAAGCGCACGCGTCTCCGCCTCCCCACTCCTTTTAAAATACCGTTATTAGCGTAATGAGTTATTTATAAGACGTAGTCTGTGCCTGCTACACAGTGCCCAACTGCGCAATATTATCTGTTCTTGTCAGTGTGACGGTGACAGCGGAACGTGACAGACGTACGACATTGGACGGTGTTGTGTTGTTTTGTTGATTTCCAGTTTGTGCTTGTGATTCTTGAATTAGAATTGACTGTTTTAGTGTTTGAGTATCAATTTATTAAAATGAAGATTGCCGTAGAAGGTTGTGCTCATGGTGAACTTGAAAAAATTTACGATTGTATTGAAACATTACAAGCGCGAGAGCAAATCAAAATAGATTTGTTGATATGTTGTGGTGACTTCCAATCAGTACGAAATAGTGAAGATTTACGGTCGATGGCAGTGCCAGACAAGTATCAACACATGTGCAGCTTCTACAAGTAAGCATTTTACACTATTTATACACTTTTACTAAGTTAAAAACCTGTTTGTTTTTCTAACCTAAAACTAGTTTGTGGTATTTTGAACATAAATTAAATAACACGAATTTTCTTTTTAGGTACTATAGTGGTGAGAGACGTGCGCCAATACTTACCATATTTATCGGCGGAAACCATGAAGCTTCAAACTATCTTCAGGAGCTCCCTTATGGAGGCTGGGTGGCGCCAAACATCTTTTACATGGGCCGTGCGAGTGTCATCAAATTCGGGAATTTGAGGATAGGAGGTAAGCTTTCTGTTTGAATAATACTGTTTGTACAAACAACCAAAAGTAATTTAAAAAATTAATGACTCTTTCAACTTTGTAAGTTTGTTTCTACATAACTTGCTCCAAAAGATCTTATTGGATTGTTACTTGAACTTAATTAGCTGACACCAGAAATAATAACCTCAAATCAACTTTACCCCAATGTGTTATTTAATTGGAATCATATTTTAATAAATATTGTATTCTCTTTTTTCCAGGTATGTCCGGTATTTATAAGGGGCATGATTACTTACAAGGACTGTGGGAATGTCCCCCATACACTCAGAACTCCTTACGGTCAGTCTACCATGTGCGCTCGCTGGATGTCTTCCGGCTCAGTCAACTGGGGGAAAAAGTCCATGTCATGCTCTCTCACGATTGGCCACGTGGCATCACTGAATATGGAGATAAGGAGTTTTTATTGAGAAGAAAACCTTTTTTTAGGTAATTTTTCTTCATACTTAAAGTGCCTTTGTACTAAATTGCTTATGTCCATCCTCTCAGATTTGTACATAGTTCTAATCATAATAATTTGTTTGTTCACAGGGAAGATATTGAATCTAACCAATTGGGAAGCGTTCCAGCTGAAAAACTATTGCACTCTATGAAACCAGACTACTGGTTTGCTGCTCATTTACATTGTCAATTTGCTGCATTAGTCAAACATGATGATGACCACGAAACAAAGTTTTTGGCCTTAGACAAGTGTCTTCCAAAGCGTAGACATCTGCAAATTCTGAATATACCGACCGAGTTTGATGGTGACAAAACATTGAAGTATGATGAAGAATGGCTGGCTGTTCTTCAAAGTACCAATCACCTATTAAGTGTGAAGAACATTGATGTTCATATGCCTGGTCCTGGTGGAAATGAAAGGTCAGTATAACCAATATAACCNGAAAATAACTTATTTGAAATCTTAGATTTATTTATTTTAGTACCAGTATAACATGTAATTATTTCTTTTCTAGGTATGAATTTACTCCAACAGAAGCTGAGAAAGAAGCAGTTCTAAAACTATTGCAAGATACAAGAATAAGTGAAGATAACTTTGTACGGACAGCGCCCATATACAATCCTAGTGCTCCCAAAACTGTGCCTTCGAATCCAATATCAAACCCACAAACAGTTAATTTGTGTGAAAAGCTTGGCATTGATGACCCTGTGCAAGTTATTATGGCTCGATCTGGAAGGACTATGACTCAACCGAATGTAGAGTTGACGAAATCTCCATATATCCAATTTAAATCGCCTGAAGTTGATACATCTGTAGTGAGAACACCAATGAAGTCTAAACTTTCACTTCCTGCTCCTGTAACTCCAAATGATAATGACAGTGAAGATACAAATAGAAACTCGTCTCTATCGACAGAAATATCATTTTTGTCCGATAGCACATGTGCCTCTCCCGTTGATTGTGCTACGCCGATGTCAGCAGGTGCTAAGAAGACATTTAAACGCAGAAATTTATCTATTTACAATACACCAGATGATGATGGTGTCAGTACGTCTAGCTCAATGCTAGAATCGGAAAGTCCCCGATCAAGTAAACTGCCATGTAGAGGTTCTGTTTTGTGATTAATGTACTCTCTTAAATTATGTAAGTTAATTATAAAAAAATATGACAGAAATTGTACAAATGTTTTACAACTTGTATGTCTGTAGGAGAATTTTAGCATATTACAATTTTATTCACAAATCAATTTTATTAAGGATATTCAAGGTAGACCCATTAAAGCTATTATATATTTGTATGTAAATAAGAATTGTCATGTGATGTGAATGTTGATTAGATTAAGAATATTGTTAATTTTACATTATTCATTAGAATGAGCTAAAATAACATTTTAAACTAATTACAATTGAATTTTAAATTGTCATAATAATACAAAGTTATAAATTTGCACTTTGTTTTTAAGTTCTGTTGCAACAAAACATGTTGTGATCTCTCTACATATTTGTCCTAGTAATTTACTAGATTTTTTATATTGACAAAGCAACATAATGTGTGTAGTGACTGATCTGATTGTTCATTTTTGGCAATAAAAAAGTGCAATCGTACATGTGATTTGTTTTATTTGCTTAAGCACAACAAAGTGAGGATTTAATTAAAATAAGAAGCTAATTATTGATTAAATCTTATGATTTATTATGTGTTAATAAGTGCTCCTTAAGTTGTGGCATGTTTTTAGGATTAAAAGAACATTGATTACATTGAAGAGGAGTTGCCATTAAATTCTTGTGAAGCTCGGGCGACATTTTCTTTATGGACCCAGTTTCTTTCAGTTCATTTAAAATATCTGCAATAATTAAAAATTTACTATTAATTACATAGGGGATAAACTTGTATAAATAATATTAAATAGGCATGATTTTGTAGGTACCTTCAAATGGAATAAAAAAATTGGTAGTGAAACTATTCCAATGAATTTTGGTTTTTAAGCATGGAGAGATCATGTCTATGCTTATTACATGCATGTGCAGTCTTTGCATGCTAGGCACTGCATGGAAACCAGCTTTAAGTTCAATATCGCTAAGTTCACTCTTTATTTCTTCAAACAATCTATTAAATTCTTCAAGTAGCTTTACATGCTCCAAATTCATTTTATAAATACTGTTTATATTTTCTGTTGGCAGCATTAAATAGTGGATTTTAGCTTTGGGAAATTTGTCTCGTATTACTACAACGGATTTAGTTTCTTTGACTATGGACTTGGGATCCTTCATAGATTCAAGTAAGCCAAGTGACCAATGCTTAACTTGTTTTGATTTCGGTTCAGTGTTAGGGCCGGCATCCAGATTTCTTTTGCTCATTTTGTAGTCTGCAAACTTGCACTTTAGTCTTTTAATGCGTTTAAAAATAATTTTGAATTGAAGTTTTTAATTATTATTTTTCTTGGAATAATGCAACTAAATTATTACAACTAATTGTCCGTAATGTAAACTAACTATTATCGCTTTGGAGAACGAGATTTTAACTAAGTAAATTAATTTAATTACGATTATGTAAAATCATAACATTTCGACGAAACAATTTTTAGGTTATGTTTATGTTATTAGTGTTGTAAGTAATGTAGTAACAAAATCTATTGTCAAATAAAAATATCGGTAAATTTTTAGTCGTATTTATCATTTAAAATATTGATACATTTTATTCACGATGATCCTCTTTTTCAAGATAATTATGTACCTATGGTAAGTGAAAAGATTTTAAAATTCCATTTCCATTTCAACAACCCTATTTATTGGGAATCATTTTATTTAATAGCAAAACAGTTTTTACATTACTGATTAAATTTATCACCTTAACGTAAATTCTACTATTTATTTTCGGACATAGCACTAAATGAAATTGATTTTATAATAATCATACACAAAAAAAATGTCAACAACTATCGATATTCAATTCAATCGATATCTACAACCATCACAACACTATTTCATGACATTTGTATTTTTTTAAATTTCAGCTTACGGCTTGGGTTCGAGTCTTTTTAGCAAAGCCCCAAGCCCACTTTTTTTTTGTTCAATTAAGGATTCGTGTGGTCTGCACAGCCAGTGTCAAAGTGTAGAAATTATTCAAGTATTATAAAAAATAATCATAAATTGATGAAATGATAATGATATAGATGACCCACGCTGAACTGTCCCGCCAAACTCAATGACAGGGGGGCGCTACCATCGGTCAACTATATGGTTTCCAACATGGCAAAAATCTGAACCAGCGATCCGGTATTGACGGTGGCGCCCCACTGTCAATGTCATCGACAGGACAGTCCAGTATTTTGGAACTATAAATGAGATGATACCCCCCTATCCCCTTGAGTTTCAGTAAAGATTTAACCAATGATATTAAAGAACTATAGATATGTTACGTTCATAGAAATTACGATTTGAATCCGTGCCGAGCTATTCCAAATCGCACACATTGACAAATGTAACTGATAGGTGAAACAAAAGATACGAAATAGCACGCAAATGAAAGAGATAGCTATAGTTTTAACGATTCTGCACTAACTAATCTATGTCCGCAGCGCACGCATCCTTATCGCTCTAACGTCAAAACCATGAAGCTAAAGATAAAAATGGAGGGCAGAGTTGGAACAAAATCTTGAGTCAAATACCTACTTATATCTATCTCGCTCTCTGCGGCCCTACCTCTCTTTTTAGTGCAAACTGTAGTATTGCTATCTTCTGATTTAAATCTCCTTGTAAATTCTTCGAAATAGCCAATTCACTAACCAAATCAGAAGTTAAACAAATAAATAATTAATATTTGAAACTAGGATTACCTAGTAAAATAAAAAATCACAAAATTGTCGGCTATTTAGGTTTAATGTGTTGGCGAATCAGGGAATTACAATCCCAATTCCTGGGTAATCGGTACCATGTGGCAACATCGGCCCAATCCAGCCCATCATGGCGGTTGTTTACTATTTTGTTTATTAAGCAGTTAATTTCGTTTGAGATTGTTTACAGGAAATAATCATTGTTTTATCACAAGAATTGGTGCAAAATTTTGTAGTGCGTGGTTGCGGTAATACGTGGTGTCCTGGAAGTGACATAAGATTCCACGCGTNTTTCCCGCGCTTTTTCTATAGGTTATGTTATGTTTATGTTATTAGTGTTGTAAGTAATGTAGTAACAAAATAATTATTGTCAAATAAAAATATCGGTAAATTTTTTAGTCGTATTCAAATCACTTAAAATATTGATACATTTTATTCATGATGATCCTTTTTCAAGATGATTATGTACCTATGATAAGTGAAAAGATTTTAAAATTCCATTTCCATTTCAACAACCCTATTTATTGGGAATCATTTTATTTAATAGCAAAACAGTTTTTACATTACTGATTAAATTTATCATCTTAACGTAAATTCTACTATTTATGTTCGGACATAGCACTAAATGAAATTAATTTTATAATAATCATACACAAAAAAAATGTCAACAACAATCGATATTCAATTCAATCGATATCTACAACCATCACAACACTCTTTCATGACATTTGTATTCTTTTAAATTTCAGCTTACGGCTTGGGTTAGAGTCTTTTTAGCAAAGCCCCAAGTCCACTTTTTTTTTGTTCAATTAAGGATTCGATATCTGTGATTCGTGTGGTTTGCACAGCCAGTGTCAAAGTGTAAAAATTATTCAAGTATAAAAAATAATCATAAATTGATGAAATGATAATGATAAATGAGATGATACCCCCCTATCCCCTTGAGTTTCAGTAAAGATTTAACACTACTGAAACACGCGGACTTCTTTAGGGAACTTGAAATCATATGTTTACACTCTTTTGTTTCGTTTGCTTACACTCATGCACGTTAAATCCACGATTAAAGTCGGCTAAACATAAATTTTAGAAAATAAAACAAAACTGCTAAACATGACGCTATACTTTCCCGCCAAGAAGGCTTTCAAATAATTAATTGTCGTCATGGGCTTTTTCCACTTCGCCAGCAGTATTTTTACTAAATTATTCTATATGATAATTTAGGGTTTTTTTTAAATGAAAAGTCTTTAATGTTTATTTATCTTTTTTATTAGATCGTTTAAATCTAGTTAAATATTAAAATCTTGGTTTAATAAATTAAACTTCTAGAGCTATTCAATGGCTTACAATAAAGTGACAGTCATGGCTGAAAAAGTTTAAAAGTTATCTCGGCATAACTTCAGATTTTTCAGTCATAAGTTCCATTTCTCTTAAATTAAATAATAAATTACATAATTAAATTATTATAAATAATGCAATTTTTTCAGCAATGTAAATAACCTATCTGCTACTTCCAGAAGCAAGAATTCGTTTATAATAAAAAAGTTTACAAATAATGATTTCAAACTGACTTTGTACACAATGAATATTTTACAAATTATCTAATTTCTTTTAAAATTACCAGTCACTTATTTTCTTGAGGATGTGTAGATACAGTTTAGAGAAAGAGGATGTTATTAGTTTATAGGAATGTAAAATTATCTAACCCCAAAATTATACATAGAATAAGAATATAGGCAAGAAGTTTCTCGTATTCAAGCGAGTGAGGTTAATTATATTTTAAGTTTTGTGTTATTGTACAGTGGGTCTCCCAGCGTATCCTGAGTCAGGGAGCGAGTGGTGCGCCAGCTCCCTCAGGATCTGTTCGAAGCCCTTCCCGTTGGGGGCTTGTAAGCTGCTGTTCTTGATCATCGTTGAGTTCAGTTTGGTTGCTAGATAGCACATCTGAAAATGACAGAGCCGCATTTAAGAAACTGATAAAGTTGTAGAATACACAAATTATAAGTAGGTAAATGTGAAGAGACTGTTTCTTACGTAACAAGTAGCTAAACAGGCAGTTATTTACTCAGTTAATTAAAAAAAAAAAAACAACGGCTAATAGCCTGGACCGTCTTTAACCTACTATGGGCCCTGGGCACTTAAGGATCAAGGGGGGCCTTATCGTCTGATGGGGCCCCTTCGGTCGCGGGGCCCTGGGAACCTGCCCGAAGTGGGAACGAGGGGCCTGTCAATCGCATGTTGTTGTTGTTGCTTAATAAACATTGATTAATTTTCACTAAATTAGACTAAGTTTGGTATACGAGATGATCCAACTTAATGACTCATCTATTAAGAGATTTTGTATTTGTATTTTGTATTTAGCTGTGTAAAAGACCAAAAAGTCCCAGTTTAATATTCACTCACCAAAAGCGCGGACATAAAGAGCAAGGCTCCCAGCGCCACTGCAACCATCATGGAAGTCGCGCAGGTGGCTTCCAGCGGAGTCCGGTGGAACAGCTCCCCTGGCATCACCACGGTGTACTCGAGGTTCTCCTTGAACCGCGTGAAGGGCGTACTATTGTTGTCTGACACCAGCGCAGAGCTGGTGATGTTGTAGGTGTGTTCCGCGTCAGGGAGAGATCTGCGTTTGCGGCCGTGTCCTGGAATTAATAACGTTTTTTGTTAATAAAAGAAAAATATACATTATGTAAATATGTATCATTAAAGTATAAAAAGCGGTCACGATTTAAAAAAAAGAAATCTTTGACTTCTTTCTGTTGGGTTACTATGCGTCCCATTCATTACTTACAGCTACCCTGAAAATATGCAAGTTTTGTGTCGCGAAAAATAAAGAAACCTCTGATGTCACATGACCAAAATTTTAAACCTTGTTGGTGTGAGGCCTCTTCGTAAATTCTATTTTTTTAAAATTGGTAAGTTACCCGAGGGTTCATACAAGTCCAGGCAATAATCGGGCTGGCAGTCAGCGGCGTCCATGCACGCCTTGATCTGCGAGTGGATCCAGAGAGTGGAGCGCTCCTTCATGGAGGCCAGCAGGAAGGCCTCGAAGTCCAGGAACACCTCGTTGTGCCGCTCCCGGTAGCGCGCCGGCTGGTGCGGGATGATGGTTGCGTACTCGCGGTTACGGCAGCTGTGAAAAAGTGTATACTTAGTAACATCATTATCGTGTTGTTTATGGAAAAATTAATTATGGAAGAGTTCAGCGTTATGTAATTTGTTTATATTCCACTGTAGAGCCTCTCAAAACAAAAGATAAATGGAGGATGTAGAGGACCTACAGACGACCTAAGTACCTACACGGGTTGTGGAAGCCTGATGTTCGCATCTACTCGTACTTTATAGCTTAGTAAGATTCCCCGTATTAGGAAACCCATCATTTGCAAGCAATTCAGTCTTCCCATCTGCAGTGATCTATCGGTATCGCCCTCGCTACAAATCTTATTTAGGTAAATTGTGATGCCACGTGAGCGCGACTTTACATTTCCATAGGTAAGTATTTTGATATGATGATGCCCTTACAAACACGCTTACGTTACGATACACAATTACTTAGTACTTATCACGTAATAATGCTTACCCATCTTTGACCAGCAGTACGGAGCCAGCAGCGTGCGGGCGGTCTGGGTCAGGAGAGACGGCTACTTCCAGCAGCTTGATGTGGCGCCATGCTGACTCGGGGTTGATGCGCGCGCGCAACTGAAGCTTTGTGCCGATCGGTACCGCCTACGAAGAGATGAGAGGTGAGATATTTTATTGATTTATCAAAAATGTATTCTTTAATCTTAAAATGCAGAGTTCCTTAATTAATTAATTTAATTCCTGAATTCAAATGTAGTGAAATGCTTTTAATGAAATATTCTTACGCTGCAGCGCTGTTTGGTGATAATGCTTACTTTAGGATTGCGAGGATCTGGAGTTTAAGCTAGATTTGTGGGCTGCGTCGTGTTTTGCTGCTGGATGACTGCCCTGTCTCTCTTAATTACTTAAGTATTGATAATAATATACTCAGCTGAACGTACAGCAGTTACCTGGTCTACAGGCAGGTCGACGGAGTGGTTGGAGTGGCGCGTGACCGGCGGCGCCTCCTTGTACAGCGCCACCTCGTACTCCAGCCGACCTGGCGTCTCTTCTACCACCCCGGACACACGCGCTCCGTGGGGGCTGGGGATAACAAGATAAGATAAGATTAGATAACACTAGCTTATGTCCACGGCTTTGTCTTCGTGAATATCGGTTAATAAAAAACAGGGATAATAACTATCCTTGGTTTTTCCCGGGGTCTCAAACTTATAAAACATTTGAATTGGTTCAGCCAGTGGTTTAAGCGTGAAAGAGTAAAAAATCATCCATCGATCACTCTAATAACATGAGTTTATCTTGTTGATGGAATGTGTAAGCAAGTATTTACTATCACCGTCATATCACTATCAAAAGCAGTAAAATATAATGCAACTATTATTCTAACGTCATCACTAAATAAGCATACGTCACTGCATTTTATTATAACAGACAGAAGGCCGCCATGGATTGGTGGTTTTGCGCCCGTTGCAGGTTCGCATCGTTCCCGGGTAAAATATTACAGTATAATATACAGCTATACAGGATGCTCGGTAGAGGGCTAGCCAAACACGTTGAATTTTTATGTAGAGTCATTAATTTACTTACCTAATTTTAATCGTGTTTAAATTATACCAATTTCGCTACTAATATAATAGTCCTACCTTCATTTGTTTTGATTATTTTGAACTCATAATATGATTAGGCACGTACTCTTCTAAGCGCAAGAAGAAGACATTATTGTTACAATCGTGGCTTGTAAATTTGTACCGCCGTAGGTATAATCATCGGCTTTCTGTCTCCCTAATATACAAGGTAACGCCCCTAATCTAACATAATAGCTGTTATTGAGCGTCATTCCTTTATTGAGTGATTCTATCACTGGATGATTTATTATAACACCCATTCTGTAGCTGATCGTTACGCAGTATCCGAATTAATTTATTACGGATGTTCCACTTCTCGAAAACTAGGCTGTTCGTGCCTTATTTGTTAGCTAGATCTTTCGTAGACTAGTGTTAGGATTAGAAAGGAAACTAATGTAGTTATTAGTGCTATAGTTTCAGTCATAAAATAAATTGTAACACTTAATTATGGCACGTAGCACATTTGATGTTATCATCATAATATTNTTATATATTTTAGGACTACTTACATCGCTGCAACTTCGAAGTTTAGCCGCCAATGAAACCCAAACAATAAAAGTTGAATGGTCCTGACTGACTTGGAACTTGCAACGAATTGCATTAAAATAATTATGAGGAGTTCGAACTTCGAAGTAAATAAGACATATGATCAGGAGTAGATAAGATGATAAGTAGGTACTATGCTCCAAAGACATCGGCAAACGTGGAAACACCATAAGAGTAAAGTAGAAGAAGACTCACAAACTGCCAGCGAAGCCAGCTGCCTTGTTCTCGATGATGGTGGGTTCCGGAGGCTTGCACATGATGATGAGCTCCTGGTCCGACTGCATCACCACCCCGGGGAACTGTGGGAACCACACTCGGACGTGCACGAAACCCTGAAAGTAACACAAAGTTTTTTTCATATAAAATCTTTTTAGACTTTTGACCTTTCGGAAGTTCAACGCAGCAAAAGCAGTTTCTAAAACCTGCGATTCCAATAAGGCGTCCAAATTCGACGTACACAGATTATGTGCTAAACAGTCTTTTTATTGCGCTCTTAGTAAAAATGTCTTTTACATGCAACAAAATGACATATAGTGTTGTATCATTAGGCCTGAAAAGGGCTCATACTTAGACTAAAGTAGATTTTTTAATACAGAACAAGCTAGGTATTTGACCCTATCGTACCTGATGTCAAATGAGAGTCTGTCCAGGATGGTACATAATCTGCCCTGTAAGTGCTTTTCACTCTCGCCTTTAATTGAAACCAGCATACTGATGAGCCAGAAGATGGTATTTCTACGCCTTGTCTAAATACACAAGCTGATGAGAAAAGTATAGGCCACGGTCAAAAAGTTTAAACAAGGAAATGTTATCTCAAAATATGCAGCATGCGCCTACACTGTAAAACTATGTGGACGTAATATCCAATTCAGTAAACAAGAGATAAAGGGCTTAAGATTTCCTTATTATAGACATTTATGTTATGTTTACCCATCTACTATAGAGCTACTGTGTCAGTAGTAGATCTCGTAAAAGATGAATGAGGTCGTTTCTATAGTTTTTCCGTCGCCATAAACAAATGACGACTGACGAGAAAGGCCCGTTTTCCACAAAAGCGAAGAGATATGTTTTGGGCTCAGTTTCGGTTACGAAACGTTTGGTTATTCCAAACGTTTCGTAACCGAAACTGAGCCCTCCCCCATTGACTTCCACATCGCACGGTTGGTAGCCTGCATCCAGCGCTTTCCTGCTACCTTTTCAGGTCGTCGGTCCACCTTGTGGGTAGACGTCCCACGCTGTGTTTTCTGGTAACGTGGCGAAACGAAATCTGAGTGGTAATTCAAAAAACTGTCGTCTTCTCCGCTTTCGTGGAAACCGAGCATTAGTACGGTGGATTCTAAGGTTTCCTTTGAAATCGTATCGATGTACGCGTGTTTAATGCACCTCCCAGTATGCCAGGGTACCGCTTAATAATATATCAGCGCAGCGAGCAGCTCTGTAGGCCACTACTCACCGTACGTTAATAACGGCACGGGTTATTATCCACCGATGACAAAACATTGCCTGCATATTCAATAGAACACGCGTAAATGGAAATTCATTCTGTATTTTGCTTCCAGATTGTTAATTATTTTCATATTTACCAACTATTAGAATGTCATATTATACCCACCTGAATTATTCAAGCTCATTTAATAATGAAATGAGTTAACTTATAATCTATTAATTGGTATATTTATCCATTGGGGATCAATTAATGAACCATAAACACGATAAAAGTAAAATATTTAGGTCGAATGACTCATGACGAGCGCCTTTGACTAAATGAGGTGCATATCATCTCTATCATCAGTAATCATCGCCTCTTAAATCGTTTAACCTTTAGAGATCTACTTTCGATAGCAAATAATGTTTCTACCTCTGACAAGCCGACATGCCTGACATAACCCCGTTGATCACCTGATGAGCGAGCATTTTTATACATTTTCGACCTACTCTTTCCAGCAAAGATCACGTAGTGAAAACTAATCCCGTTTATGATCTGTTTAGTTAACATTAACGTGAAATAAACTGTATGTACCTGGACATACTTATCTTTACAATGAAGCGTGATAACTTCAGTAGCAGCAATAAACTCGAGCGTCAGCGTAAGGCTATGACTAACATCTGTACCACGTAAAAAATATAACGAAGGACAAAAATAATTCTACCAAATCCATTTGTTTCATTGAGATGTTTGTTTATTTTCAAGCGAAATGAATTTCCACGTGTAAAAATTCAGGGAAGTAGAATATAGCGAAGCACCTTCAAGTGTTTCATGACTTTGGACATGGCCATTCTGTAGCGCTCTTGTAATGTGATGAAAAATTTCGTGACGGTATGCGCGTTAATAAAAGTTTAGGTCGCGTTATATCGTGTATGTGTTATTATATAGAATCACAGTAAAGCGAAACTGAAAAAATACTCACATTCCTCTTCAGCACCCCGCACCTCGTGAAGTCTGTAATTCGTAGCCTGTACAGCAGTTCCGTCTGGTCGTCAGGTTCTGGTCGGATCTGGCACACGGGGTCGGCCAGGGGGTCGGTGGCGCGGTCGTCGGCGAACAGCGGCGCCCCTCGGAAGCCTTCGGGCTTGCGCAGGAGTGCTGTCACCGAGTCACGGATGCCCGACCCGCCGCTTGAGAATGTGCATTGGATGTCTGTGACTGAAGAAAAAAACACTGGTAATTTTCAGGGCATTCATTTGTTACTTGTTAGTAATGTAAAATACATTTGGAAATTCGAAAGGAGTGGTGTGCTGTCTGATAAAGTATTTTAAAACCATGCGCAACCGGCTATATCTGGAAATCATTGGGAAATTCAGCAGTGGACGTCCTGTGACTGAAATCACTGAAATGATGATAATGAAGATACGCATTTCGGGAAGCTAACGTCTTTCTACGCTGCTTCTATTCGCACGTTATCTGTATGTTGACATTATCGGTATCTCTAATTCATTAAAAACGGCGAACGCGTGAAAACATTTTACACTGTTACCACTTACTTACTTTGACATTTAATGTCAGTGGTAGTTATTATTTATAATTACATAGCTAAGGTAAAAAATGGGAGCTTTGCTCTTTGGCGCTCCTCGATGCAATGGACTGTAATTGATTGATATCAACGAATATCAAAAGTTATTGAGATAACTCTGTTTCTTTGACTCCTTAACGATTTATGTGTTTTAAAAGGTAGTGTACATAGGTATTACAAATTAACTCACCATCGTAATCTTGTGTGCACGCAGTTTGTATCTGTAACAATAAGCATTCAAAATCAGAGGAAGGAAGGGCAGCCGATTGTGCAGTTAACTTAATTAATTCAGCTGAATGTATGCATTGTTAGACATTTAGGTATATGGGTCGCTCGCATTGTTTAAAGTTTTGACTTTATTCCGATTGTTATCAGGCATTTATTTGTGAGTGGGATGTCTTATAGTAGGGTAAGATAAAATATGTTGTTACGAAATGATATAGGTATGTAAGTTTTTATCTAAGAGATGATGAGGGATGAACGTTATCAAAATAATTCGAAGCATTTAAACTTAAAATCTAATGCTCTATCCCCCTTAATGTAATTAATTAATCTTAATTTATAAAACACATTTACGACTACGACTTAAACCGACCAAAAATTAATATACCTAACGTATGAAAATAATACATTGAGTACATCAACTTGCTCATGAATAACAATTTACATAATAATAAATATTAAGAAACTCTAATCTTAAACAATAATCTTGCATTCCCACAGTAATAAATGCTCTTACACTTCGACGTTCATGAATGAAATTAGATTTTCTTTTGTCGTTTCACAATTTTTCCTAAACCAGAATTAAAAACAACTCTACTTATAATATTATTTTATGGTGACTATTCTCTGTGAGTGCTACGAGTCTGCTCTCACAGACTCTATCAAGGTTAGATCATTTAAAGTCCTAGTAAACTGTTAAACCTTTTATAGAATAAGAATAAGAATAAGAATTACTACTGTATAAAAAACTTAGCCTAAATAAATACGTATAAGTTTGGTTTCGATAAAATTAAGGTTAGTATGCGAAAGTAAAATCAGTAAAATTAATATCTAAACTAAGCAAATTTTATATTTAATGCCTGTATCTCAGGTATTTATAAAATGTGAATGTCAAGCCATTTTTTAATTTTTTAAGCTACCTATCCTCTATGCGTGATACAGCATGAAATTGACATCGGAGTCACTGAACCAATCTAAAGATTAATTTAATAGAGTTCTGGATCAACCGCAAGTAAAAACCTCGCGGATGACCATTAGAATAAGTTTGGTGTGTGCAAGAATTGAGTCATGGGCGATTTCATTATTATCCTATACTCTAATATTTTACGTGATGAACTCTACATTGAATTGAATGTTATCTTGGCTGATATGCCAAATGCCACGAGTAATTTACTGTTCTATTGTAGTTTCCTCTTATTTAGATTCATAGATTCGTTTGCTTTCACACAAATTCAGTTTGGTTTTACATTCCTTTTAATGCTGTTTTTTTTTTAATAAAGTAGGTATGTAACTAATTGATTTATATTGTTCTGAATCTAATTAAAGAATGGAAATATGTTTGCCAGAGATTATTCAGTCACTAATCGATTAACATTGTTCAAAGTATGTTACCTAAGGCACGTAATGCTCATACTTATGCAAGGTAAGTATTACTCCCTCAACATATTTTTAATTCATTTCTTTTAAATATCTAAGTAGGTAGCAAGGTATACGTTTTGACAAAAAATGGTTAAATGATCAATTTAAATAGAAAATTCAAAGAAAACGATTATAGAAAACTGTTACAAGATTGCATTAAAACGTAGTAACATCAACGTAAACGATGAAATAAAAGCAATAAAAACACTAAATTCTTTTGGAGTAGGTAAATTGATGGTTTCTGCTAAAGTTAAAGTATGGTTTTGCGATTTTACAAATAAATCGGACCACCACACCATTTAACCCACGTACGTGATGCCGGCTAATGCGGCGTCGAAAGTAAGTCGCTGTAGATAGCTAGACAGACTCGAGTTACGCTTCGTTTCCTCCAACCGTCGTAAGTGAACGCTGTGCATTACCATCTCCAAACACGTTTCATTGAAAAGTGCGCTCGTTAGGAAAGCAATGGAGAGTGTGCTTGATTTTATCTCGTTTCGTTGGGGTCAAACCTCTGACCGTTGGCTCAGCGAGCTGCTTCGTGCGGAAACAACGTTCGGATGTTGTTGATAATCGGTCGTTGGTTGACGCTCGTATGCAAATTCGCATTCAAACGGTAAGCGAGTATTTTAAAACGGTGCTGCTCTGGTTATTGGGCGTGAAGACTTTTTCGGAGGATGAGAACGATTTTATTCGGTAACAAAAACGGTTCTTAGCGTTTTCTACGACTCTACGTGTACCATATTAGAATGCAGACTTTTTAGACCTAACTAAAGAGACTAGCTTTCCGGTTTCTTTAGATAACGAGTTGGTTTTGTAAAACGTATTTGCAATTGCTTTTTACTTACAGTTTTACTTTAGAGGCTCATTTAAGACGATGATAAATAAATAATAGAGACCAAATAGAATTTCTGTAAACCTCCTCAATTGTATCTAAAACTATTATTGTTTATAGCAGTTACTTAAACGTTGGTAGGTAACGTTAATTATTAAGTAAGAAACTTTTCAGTTATTACTTTATTATGGCCATTTAAGTTATAAAAAGCAATTTACACCATTAAAACTTATCACTTCCTTAATTTGAAAATTGGATGCGGTTGCATGGGGTAGTCCCACGGTACCTTATCGTTTTCCCAGGCAGCAGGACAGTTGTGAAGAAAAGATTGCAAGTGTAATTGTAAGGTAATTACCGCGGAAGAGGCGGCCGCCGACTATTTAATTGAAGTTCAGCGAAAAATCGCTTTAGTTTAATAGTTAAAAGCAGCAAAAGATCCCTATTACCTACACGATGGGCGGGGAGATACAATCTTTCTTATCAGTATGCTGTAATGATGTTATGTAGATTAAAAATGCTTTTTTCAAACACCTAATGATAATCACTAGGAAAAAGCTTTTGAAAAACTTTTAATCGGGTAGGAAAGATAGTGTTCGGGCAAGATAAGTTCAGTTCTTTGTCAGACATAATAGTTATTTACTTATGCGTACGTACTTACACATAATAGTCTGTAGGTCTACTTTAATTAAGTAATTTTTACTAGGCTATACGAGTATTAGGTAGGTATCAGAAAGTTTTGTTGTTATTGTAAGTTGTAGAGTTCATTTTACTTTTTATAAGTTTACATTCATAGATTACTAGTATAAAGTTCATTAATCGCACATTAAATAATAGCGAATCTAACTGCCTATGAATAAATTGACACTGATCTAATTGGCAATTTGTAAAATAATCTCTGCCACCAGCCGTCATCGCTGATGCATAATGCAGTTACACGTGCACCGTAATTGATAGCGTGCGGCCGGTTGCGCGCGCGCCGATCATTCGCGACGCGTCTGCGTTGCTGTAAGATTGGCGGCATAGAGATTGTAATTCAAGCTATAAGTAGATCCTGCTTACACAGGAGTTCCAGCGGTAGGAACGAGAGGTGGGAATACTTCATCATTAGATCTCCACTGCAGGAGCAGACTGTCTCTAATTTAAAATAAGTAGGCATGTAGGTAGACTAGTTCAGTTGAATATGAATTTTAGGTGGTATCCTCCCGTTTGGCCAAATTACTTTTCGCCAAATTTCACTTCGCAAACAACTTATCGCCAAAGTTTCATTTCCCAAATGAACTTTTAGCAACTGTACTTTTCGCAACTAATTCATTTGGTCAAGTTATCATTTGGTAAAATTTTACTTGGCAAATGTTTATACTATAGCAAATGTTTTATTTTGCCAAATATTATATCCCAAATTATTTTTTTTGGTCAAAAACGGTCAAATTGACACTTCACATACTTACCCACCGTTACCCACAAATCAAAGCATAAGGAAAGAAATGAAACATTTGACAAAACATACTATACCAAACAAAATTTGCTAAACAATAATATGCCAAAAACAACATTTGCGAATTAAAAGTTTGCAATAAGTTGTTTTGCCAAATGAGAATTTGCCAAATGAAAATTTGTTTGCGATGTGATAATTTGGGAAACGTTTTTTGGCCAAACATTAGTAATCCATTTTAGGTTTGTGTTATTATCATCAAAACAACGAATCTTTTTAAGGTAACAAGGTTCGTATATTGTACTTATTTATATCTCCTTGATGATGCTCATGAAAGGATTGAAGTAGTTAATCTCAAATGCCCGATCGGTTTATGTGGGAAGGACTGATAAAAAGTTGCATTTAANTCTGCGATGTGCGCCGGCGCTGTTCAGAACTTGGTCTCGGGATAAAGCCACCAGTCTCCCGAAAGCGTCTTGAAACTTTCGAAACCCAGCACTGGCTTATATGGCGCTGACGTGCGACAGCCCGCTGGCTGAGCCCTTCTTGCAATAGTGCAACGATTTGTGCTGCTTCTGAAGGTGTAGAATCCCAGGTAAAGTGTCAAAAGAAGCGGAGATGTGTATGAATCTACGTGTGAAAGCAAAAATCCGAAAACGCGTGCTTTTATAGGGGGTAAATAGACCGCAACTCGCGACGTATCAAACAGTTCATACATGTCTTTTTCGTTACTTCTTCACATCAGCCGGGATATCTTTTTAAATACCGGTGTGATTTAAATGAATTTGGTATCAATATAAGATAAAAGTTTAATCTTTAAAATGGTGCCACTTTTTTTGTTCCTAACAAATTCGTTAGTACACAAGATCGCGTGGAAACAACTTCATGTAAGTGATTCCATACTTTTGCTCGCGAGTGTAGATTAAAAATGCTTTTTTCAAACACCTAATGATAAAATCACTAGGAAAAAGCTTTTGAAGAACTTTTGATCGGGTAGGAAAGATAAGTAGTACCTATTCGGGCAAGATAAGTTCAATTCTTTGTCTGTCATAATAGTTATTTACTTATGCGTACTTTAGGTCTACTTTAATGAAGTAATTTTTACTAGGCTATATTAGGTAGGTATCTGTTCATTTTACTTTTTATAAGTTTACATTCATAGATTACTAGTATAAAGTTAATTTATCGCACATTAAATAATAGCGAATCTAACTGCCTATGAATAAATTGACACTGATCTAATTGGCAATTTGTAAAATAATCTCTGCCACCAGCCGTCATCGTGATGCATAATGCAGTTACACGTGCACCGTAAT